ACTATTGATGGGATATGTTGTATTTCTCTATGGCTGGTGGTATTCTGCATTGCGCTGTATAAATGTATTATTGCTGGCATATGTAGTCCTCTATAGCCGGTGCCATTCTGCATAGATTGCTATTTTACACTTTCCATTTCACTATATTTTACATTACACTTTTTTATTTTATTTCCACCGCTCCAAGCTTGCTCCCGTGATGGACTACAATCTCAATACAAACTAGTAGTCCATCACTACTGTTTTAGGTTGAACTCGATGGACATGTGTCTTTTTTCAACCTGACTAACTATGTATCACTGGAGCCATTTAAAAAAAAAAATCTGATTAATCGAACGTAATAATCGGCTAACTAATCGATTTTGAAAATAATCGTTAGCTGCAGCCCTAGTGGTAGCTAATGGGACTTGTAGTTTCTCCATTCAAAGATCCTTTCAAAGCATCTGTGAATGTATGACGTGGCTGTGTGAGCAGAACCACACACAGCTGTGCCCAAATGAAAAAAAAGTAGCAGCCTGTGGGGTGATGAACCCCATGATTTATGTGAATGGGGGCAGGAGGGGCATGAGGGGGTTGCAATGTGACCATGTTTCATGTTACACCCTGAATGTGGGTATAACATGAAACATGGTCCAAAAAGCAAACTTAGCCTTCAAGGGGCAGGTCCATGACAGGCTCTAAGGAAGTGAGTTTAATGATGCTGGCAACCAGGAAGACTGATGGCATCTAGGGGTGGAAAAGAAATACTGCAGAAATGAAGGCAAGTATTCCAACAAAATCTGCTTTTTAATTTGTACTATTACTGGGCCAAGTATTTTTTTTTTTTAGTTGGAGTCGATATTTAAATTAGACCTCAATCTGCCTGAATGATGGTACCTTTTGGTGACAAGGATACATAACAGACAGAAGATGTCATCCATGTTCATTTGCATGTGACATTCCACAAAAAGTGTACCTTAGACATTTGCAACTCAAACACTTTGCTAATTCCTTTGCTACAGGACCTCCTCCTTTCACTTCATTCACTTTTTATGAATCTAAATGCCGAAATGATCACAGAAGAAAAACCTCTTCGCTCATCAATATATATGCATCTCTAAATAGCATTTACCAAAGGATCAAAGGCTTATCCCAGCAATGTTTAAATGGGAAACAAGCCTGAGCCCTGCTCAGAAAAAAAAAGTTTAGGTGAAAATCAAAAATCAGCAGACCTGTCTGTAAATTTATTAGTCTGCAATAATAAATACCACAAAATAAAGCATTCTAATAAAAACAGTTTTTCAACATCATTAGAAAAGAGATTTTGACAGTCTAGGAATTAAACATCATGGGAGATGCAAGTCAATCTGTCGCAGGCATGAAGTGGAATTCCTCAGTCTCCCCTCCACCAACCCTCACTTCCAGACCGATCGGTGTGCACACACAGCCAAGAACATAAAAGCTATTGCCCAGGCACTGGGATTTACCTGACTGTGTCATTTATAGGCCAGCATCTTAGTTCAGGAAGTACAGGCTGACCCTGGATGATTCCTGAAGACAGTAATGAAGAAAGGAAGATGAAAGTATTGTTCAGGGGAGTACTATAATCTTTTTGAGAGGTAATAAATACCTTCAGGTGTTACACAAACATACTACTTAGCTTGGATCCACTTAAAATGAAAACTATATCTGATGGTAGATCGGCTTTAAATGCTCCATTAATATGAAAGAGATTAAATACAAGATTCCTCTGCAGTGGCGCTGCTCCCTAACAAGCTGTACAAACTTTTCCTCAGGTATACCCCAGTTGTTTAACAATTTTGATTCCATGGGTCAGGTCACATTTCATACCACAAATAGCTGCCTTTTTAAAAAAAATCTGCCTCACAAATGCAACTTATGCAGTTAAAAATGTATTAAAAATTCCCTAAAACATAACTGTTGAGAGCACAGAACCTTAAAAATAAAAATATACTCTTCTTGGCTTTTTACATTCCATTGGTACTTTTGTTTATCACAAATACATGTCCTGCAATGTGAAATAATCTTCTTATTAATGGGAATATGAAACGTGAATATCTTCTGTTTTATGTGCTACGTACTGATTTGGTTGGAGGGATTTCGTCCCTTCTCTCCATATACTGTCTTATCAAAACAAAAAAATATTTTCCAGTGAACACAAAATAACTTCCAAAATGTTGACTACATCTGTGAAATGGTGTTGCGTTAATAAATAACAGAAATACATCCAAACATATCACTCACTTTGCAAGCTTGTGAAACAAGTAAAAGTAGATACACAAAATTGCCTTAAGGGAAAAAATATTATATATTTTCTTTTCACTATCAGTGTCATTTATTTTGCTTTTGTATATATTCTCTTTATTTATTATGGTGAAATATGCTAAATTATACTGCTTAAAACATAATTTTTTTTAGTCATATTTATTTATTTTAATTGTTGATGTGGTTATTAATTTAACACATATGGATTGGTTCTCCTCTTAGGACTTAAACATCCCCCTGAGGAAGCCCCACTGGGCGAAAAATGTTGGGGTATTTAGAAGAACCAATGTCTCCACACAATCAAATATAAACAACATATGTAAAGTATTGTGATACTATCTGTATTGTAAGCCCTCAGGGGCAGGGCCCTCCTTACCATCTTGTCTTGAATTGTATTGCGATTGTAATGTCTTCCTTATATTGTAAAGAGCTGCGCAAACTGTTGGCGCTATATAAATGCTGTATTATAATAATAATAATAATTGTGTTTATTTATTCAACCAATCCTTCTATTATGTATTTTTTATAATATTGTTTGATGGATTGCTATACAATAAATTATTTTTAACATTTTACTATATTGAGCGAGCTTAATGTTTCTTTAAAGCCCCCCCCCCTTTCAGATTTTTGCATACCTGAAAGTGGGTTTACTTATCATTCTTTCCATTATACCATAAGGTGCTTACAATTCATTTAATTAACAAAGATTGAATGTTCATTTTAAAATACTGGTAAAACAAAACACCCTCAGACCTAAAAGACTGGTTTGTCAGGATTGAAAAGACACAGAGGATAAAATAATTGATGTACATTGATTAAGACAACTTCACCTGATACATTTAAAGGTGGGTCAACAGACTTGAGTTAAAAAACACCAAAGACTCATGACATACTGCCATCCCTACCATAGAATGTACCATAGAGCCATAGTCGCCCCAGCTTACAGGATTCATACTCAATTCACCAATAGTCTTCTATCCCCCATTCTCTCCTAACACACCTACCTGATGACTACCTATTTCTCTCTACCTTTCCATTTCTGCCCCTTCTAACCCTCCTCCCCAGCATCCCTTGAAAGTCCTACCACATACACACACACCCATATACCTCTTTTTCTACCCTCTACAGCTTTCTGACCCCAAGAGATTACCTTTTCCCAGTTTCATAGCCCAGGATGCACACTTACTAAATGGAAGCTACATACTTGCCTATCGACACGTCATAAATATAAAAGCCCTTTCTGCCCACCACTGGACCTGTCCCTATCCCATTATTCACCATGAACAGATATGTTTTCTGTATTTGCTTATATTGACTTTGTGACTGACATGGCTTTTTCTTTAAGCTCCATATAACTTTCTGTTACACTTGTTTTCCTGGAATGATTGTTAAGGCTCATAATACTGTATGTGTAAAACCTTAAAACATCCATAAAATGTATAATGGTAAAAAATGTCAATACTGATTTATAAATATTGAAGTGGACCTCACATCAAAAAGTGAAGATTTGCCATCATATATGGAATATGTAGAAATTGTAATTCTGCATAAGCAGTACCCTGAAAATGTATATTTTGTCTGCAATACCACCTGAAAAATAGTGCATGTCCTGAGCCTCATAGCTGTATATCTTTAGTATGATATCATCTAAGGCTCCATTCACACTGGAGTGGTTCTCTGCGCGTATTCGGCTGGCCAAATACGCACAGAGCTGCTCTACACAGGAAAAACAATGCACTTTAAATGTGCATTGCTCAGACTTTTGCAGCGGCTACGCAGTACAAAACCGCGTAGCCCGCAAAATAGTCCAAGTGAGATTTTTTGACGGATTCCGCACGTTTGAGGCTATAATAGGCGCAAATGAGCGGAATCTGTGCGGATGAAAGATTTTAGTGTTTGCGTTGCCGCGCTGTCTTCCGCAAGGAAGACCGTGCAGGAAACGCAAGCATTATATGTGAATGGAGCCTGAGGCACTGTTGCCTCTGTTAGTTTCATGAGATTTGAAGTGAGATTTAGTGATGTCATACTCTGCTGCTCTTCTTCATGGAAAGAAAGCTGTACCTAAAGGTGCTGCTTCTGCTTCATTCATTCTGTGGATCTTTGTTTTCTACACCTACCGTGCTGCTACTTGACTATTCCTACATCAGTTATCATATTTTAAGTCATCATGAGCCTTTGTGACAAGTGTAGGAAAAGTCCTGTTTTTACTAAGATGCATGCCTCTGCATCAAGGCAACTTGTGGAACAAGGCATGGTAAGACAAGAAAGAACAAAGAACAAAGATGTTAAAAAAGATAAGCTGCAGGGAGCCTAGAGGCAATGCTTGGGGCAAGTTTTTTTTGTCCTGTGCTTGTCTTTTTGACCTCTCAGAAATTATATTAATCTCAAAAGATAAAATATTTTAAAACCAGCTCTCTTGAGGTTAGAAGTAATTGTCATTTCTGTCCCCATCAGTCTCCCTTTTTCCCAGCCTTTACAAATGTAGTACTCGTATCTTGTGAAATCTTAAGAAACAAAAATGCTCAATCTTATTTATACATGTGTTATACATACACTGCACATGGTCCATTTGGCATACACTGCACGTAGTCCATTTGGCGCTTACATTCTATTTTGTTCTCATGCACTAGAAAAAGTTACATTTGGTTTTGTAATTTTTTTGAGGGAACCTCTACCTACTTACAATAAAAAGACATTACAACTTAAACATAGACATAAAAATTAAGTAGATTTACCAATGTGATAAAGCCCAATCCAATCAGTGGGGTCCACTTCTTCCTTTATATCCCAGAAGATGATAAGTTCCTGAGCATGACCAAGTATGTATTCACACATGCTGGCTGTCAGGCTGGAACGACTGTCAGAGGTTACCAAGTCAGTGTCACTGTTGGCTCGCTGAAAGTTCAAGTTCTCAGTCATTGCGCTTCCAGTTGCAAAACTTTGGAGATTCTCTGGACTTCGCATATAACGTAGCTGTGGATTACGCTGTCGTAAGAGACAATGTTCTCGAGTAGCAGTAGCCATGATCTATAGGTTACTCAAATATCTAGGAAAAAAAAGACAAATAGATAAAAGTTACATGTTTTTAGAATCTGAATCTGATACACAGTCTTGTATCAGCATGGATACACAGCTTGTATTTTAGGCTTTCGATTATTTGAAAGAACCTCAAAACAAAGTATCAGTGATAAAAGAATGTTTGTAATTATATGACATTTTCTATGCATATAACGTACATATTTTTGCTCAAAACATCAGAAATTCTGGTTGGATCTCTTAGAATTCAACACAACTATCATTAAAAAAACCTTTTGCATAATTTTGGGAAAAGTATGCACAGCACTTTAAAGATCGTGGAGCACATTTAACCTTTACCTTTAGAGAATTGTCCTTTATGAAGCCCCCCTTCGCCACAATGAATTCCCCACAGGAAGAAAGGCTGCGCGGCGGAAGGCAAGGCAGCACAGTGAAATTCGCTGAAACAGGGAGCTGTACATTTACCAGGGCAGGCTGCATTTAGGGGTGAGGAATTTGATAAAGGGCAAGTTTATTAAATGTGAACTTGTCCTTCAAGAGTTGAAGTCAAAACTGTCACAGAGCCTGGCTCACATTTATGAATAAACCACAAACAGCTCTTCAGTAACAATGCAGCCCAAATAGTTAATACGTGCTGCATAAAGCCAATAAGAACAGAAAGAAACAGAAAATTGCAGACCACAGTCATTCTGCAATAAAAGGAACCACACGCTAACTTGTAATTACAGTGATTACTCTAGAAGTACCGGTACTTGCTGTCCATTCAGAATAAGTTGCAGTTTTACTGTATGTCAAAAGAAAGTAACTACCATTTCATTTTCAGTGGCAGAGGAAACAAAAACCACAAATCTTTGACTGACTGACATTTACAGGAAGGTGTCTTTACAGATGATTATTAAGTAATTTCCATAATAAAACACCAGGGATAAAATGCTACTTGCAGAACAAAATCTCATTAGACCTCTGCTGTACTACAGAGTCCCAGCTAAAGGATGCTTAGAACATGAGAGGAAAAGTATTACTTTCTGCGCATATACATATTGTCATCTTAAAGAGGAGCATTATCCATATCTTTAAAATAACAAACACACCTTTAGAAACAAACACACACTTCTAGATAATTGCAGGTTTGTAGTCTTTGCATACCTTATTTCTCTTTTCTTTCCCAATCTTCTGACAGTGGCCATGTTAACTAAGGGCTGGTTAACATTGAAGCAGACTAGGATGCCTTCTTCCTTTATAGCAAAGATCTTAGCACTTTACTCCTGCCCTACTGCAAGAATACGGGTTAATGGATATCTATCAGAATCAGTGCAAATTACGAATGGGACGAGACAGGGATGTCCGCTGTCTCCATTCCTATATGTATTAGCAATGGAACATCTGGCTAAGGCTTTGCGCATGAATGAAGATATTAGGGGCATAGAGGTAGGAGATAAGTGCTATAAAGTGAGTTTGTTTGCAGACGATACAGTTCTCTATATCTCCAATCCGAGGATAGCCTTTCCCGCACTATTGAAGGAGCTGCAACAATTTGGGCATCTGAGCAACTTTAAGATTAATGCCACAAAATCAGAGTGTTTAGATGTTTCACTACCGAATAAAGAGCAGACTGTTCTCCAAGCTAATTGCCCTTTTAAATGGGCTGCTCGAGCCCTTAAATACTTGGGGATCCAGATACCAGCGAGGGCTATAGATCTGTATGAACTTAATTATATGCCCCTTTTAAATGA